AGTTTGATCATTGTTGCTATAAATATATTAAAAATGCTAGATGCCGAGTGAGAAGGAAACGACGTATCTAATTCGTTTTAACAGTCTAGCATTGCCACCTCTGATATGACATTGAACTGACACCAAAACCGTCAAAGCTTACTTTTACAAGCATCAAGGCTATTAAGTTCAACTATTGTATTAAGGGATGGACGCAAGCAAATGGTTGGGGAGTTCACTTCTAAATATTTTAAATTTTTTCTTTGTATTCTTTATTGATAATATGTTTTTATTCCTAAATTTTTATATGTTTATCTTACCCTGACAAATTATTCCGCGAGAAATGGTAATGCGAACTAACAGTATGAAAAAGGAACCCATAATTTGTCAATAAAAATAAAGAAACTTGTTTTAACGTGAACAGAACAATTGTTATCATGTTACATGTTCGCTGAATCGCAGAGCCAAGGCACTTAGTGTGCGTTTGGTTCACAGAATGTAAGATTACCAGAGAATAGGATTACTAGAAATGTTGTATTTTGTGTTTGGTTGGTTTAGTAAGAATGTAAGATTACCGTGTTTGGTTAAAGGAATAAAAGATTATTGGAATGTATATTTGACCAAATTGTCCTTATTATATTTATTTTTTTAACAAGTTGGAAAATATTTATATATTTTCTTTAAAAAAATTAAATTCATAAAATTTATATATATATTTTTTATAAAATTGAAAATATAAAAAGGTTTAATGAAAGGGTAAAATTTTATTTCAACCCCTGAACTTCATATAAAATTTTAATTATAGACTTTTTTTTGTAAATCTAAAATAGTTTAAGGATAAATTTGTAAATTAACATTCGTAGAATTTTTATTATTCAATGACAGAATAAGGATATTTTTGAAGGAAAAAAATGTAAGGGTATTTTAGTCCAAAGCGCCGGTAATCCAATAATACTTAAGGAAAGGGAGGTAATGACATTTCCGATAATATACCCCAAAAAATTCACTATTGGTAATGTAAGATTACCGAAAATGACATTCCCGGCTAACCAAACGGGGAATGTGGATTCTATTCCCATGGGAATCTCACATTCCCCAACCAAACACACCCTTAGGGTGCGTTTGGTTCACGGAATGTAAGATTGCCAGTGGGAATGTAAGATTACCAGTGGAAATGTAAGATTATCAGGGAATAAGATTACTGGGAATGTTGTATTTTGTGTTTGGTTGGTTTAGCAGAAATGTAAGATTACCGTATTTGGTTAAAGGAATAAAATATTAATGGAATGTATATTTGACCAAAATTTTCTTATTATATATTTGTTTTTTACCAAGTAGGAAAATATTTATATATTTTTCTTTAAAAAAAATTAAATTCATAAAATTTATATATTTTTTTACAAAATTGAAAATATAAAAATATTTAATGAAAGGGTAAAATTTTATTTTAACCCCTGAACTTCATATAAAATTTTAATTATAGACTTTTTTTTGTAAATCTAAAATAGTTTAAGGATAAATTTGTAATTTAACCTTCATAGAATTTTTATTATTCAATTACAGAAGAAGAATATTTTTGGAAAAAAATAAAAATTTTAGGCATTTTAGTCTAAAACGCCGGTAATCCAACAATACATAAGGAAATGGAGATAATGACATTCCCGGTAATATACCTCAAAAAATCTACTATTGATAATAAAACATTACCGGGAATGAGATTCCCGGCCAACCAAACATGAGAATGTGAATTTCATTCCTATGGGAGTCTCATATTCTTTGATCCAAACACCCTCTAAGAGGAATGCACTCGAGTATAAGTGTTTAATCATATTTATTGTTTGATAAAAATATTATTATATGTTCACCGTAAATTATCATTATTGAAAATAATGAAAATATTAATAATTAAAATAATTGTATAGATACGGTTAAGAATGTTGGAGTTGATGAACCGAATTAAGTAATAGGTAGGTAAGTGTTGGGAAAAAGAAAAACATACAAAATGCGAGAGTTTGTTGGCAAAAGTCTTTTTCTTTCATTCTTTTAATGGTAACCTTAAGTACGGAGTATGGGGAATTAATCATTTGTTAGATATATCTAGGGATGGTCATCAGACCTGAATTATACGAGTTTCGACCTGATCTGACTTGATCGGGTTGGGTTTATTAAAAAAAATCAGGTTTGAGTTTAGTTTTTTTAAGTGATGTTCGGCTCGGGTTAGATTCGGGTTTAGGGTAAAAAATATCCGACCTCGCCCAACCCGAAAAAAATATAATTTTATATTATATATTTAGGAATAATTACAATAATACTTATATATATTATTTTTAATTAAATAATTATTTTTATTGAATAAATAATATTTTTTATTATTATTTCAGGTCAGGTCGGATCGGGTCCGGATCTGATAGAAGATATATGTTTTTCGGGTTAGGTTGAGTAGGGTGAAGATGTAAAATTTTCGGATCGGGTTGGCCGAAACCCGACCCATACCCATCCTAGATATAACCGAACCTAATTAAATAGTACCCAAAAAATGGTTTGTGGTGGATTCATAGCTACACTTCCATGATTATATAATATGTGGAACTAGAATTAAGCATTTCACATGATTTGTCATCAATTGATAATTGTCTATTTAGATTCCAATAAAAAAAATTTGAACCTGACATAATAATAACTAGAAACAGGGGATGAGTCATTCCCCATGATAAAATGGCTATTTTAGTCCTTCAAAATTTCAGATTTTAAAGTTAAAATAATGATATAACTATCTTTTAGCTCTCAAAAAGTGATAAATCTCAATTCAATATTAGGGTAAACTACATTGGCAGTCACTAAAAGTTTAGAGAATTTTCACTTTAGTCACTGTACTTTTAAAAATTACATTACAATCACTAAACTTTTAATTCCGTTTGATTACGATTAGCGCATTTATCAGATGCTTTGTTAGGATTAACATACTTTTCATCGTATGTCATTAGTTTTGAATAATTTTCACACACACACATATGTATATGAGGAGTCAATAATTTGATTAAAGAAAAGCATTGTTTGGGATTTAGGTTCCACACTTGAATCATCAATACTAATAGTGCAAGTTTCATGGTATTTTCCTTGTTATTGAGATAAGTGCGGACGCTATTTATTTATAAATATCGAAAAATAATAAATTAACAAACACATGAGGTGGGTATAAGATTAGCATCTGTTAAACCTAAGCTTATTTGAATATGATGGATAATATATCAACTAAAATTTCAGACGTACGTGTTTATTAAAGTTTATTATCTTCAAACTGTGACCTAATTAGTGGTAGGGTCGTGGCTGAGGTGGCGCAAATTGCGCGACCGCACAGGCCCCCAAAAATGCTCTCAAAAATGTATATATATAGTGGCGTTTTTCAATAAAAGCCACTATAGATGGACCTATTGTGACGTTTTAAAAAAACGCCACTATTATTGCGGTTTTATTGATAAAATGCCATTATATATGTATCTATCGCGGCGGTTGTCAAAAAACCGCCACTATTATTACCCCGAAATCGAATATATCTAAAAAATAGGGGCTCCTTCATAAGAATTTATACAAGAGACCCGAAAACCCAGCCACGGCCTGATTAGTGGTACTCGTGCTCGTGGAAGTTGCGATCTCTAATCATCTTAACCGCGTGCTTACGGTTTAATTAACTAAATCAATTAACAAGTTGATGCTGCCTGATAAAGAAAAAGCCAAAACCCCATGGTTTTCAGTTAAGAGCACGTAGCAGGAAGGAATTCGGACGAGGAATTCCATTATTTGTTTTTTTGTGCAGTATAATAAATACAGCACACGACATCGTTTCTTTTCTTTACCCCCTTAATGCTGAGTGACGTGTTACGCACATCTGGTTTTAATCGATAAGCGTGTGATTAGTAAAGTGTTTAATTGCTATATTTAAATTTGAACTTGTTCTTTTATTATTCAAATCGAGTGAATCATTAATTAATTTTTATACGGATTTAAATACGAAAAATAATTCGAGTTGTAGCTCAATGAATGAAACATCGAGTAAATAAAGATTAATTATTTAAATTTAAATTTAAAAAACTGGATGTCTTATTAATCCAATTAGTATATTTCAAATCGTTGATAATAAGACCAGATTATAGGAGTCTTTAGGAGTTGCATGACTTAATCTTAGGGGTGAAACAGTGAAGCCCTACATTATGGCATTCGATGCAGCTGCCCTAGTCACTGAAACGATAAGGTTGAAATAATAAACAAATTATAGATTGATAATGATCAACACATATAAAAGACTCTTGATTAGTCACGTTTTTTTTAAAGAACTTTTATCTCTTAATTGAGAATTTTAAAAGAAAAATCAAATTGTGATCATTATAATTTTAACGTTTAAGGCTGAATAAATTCTTACCGGAAACTGAAAAAAAATACTTTTTTATATAGAAAAATTATATTTAATTGAGAATTTTAAATAAAAATTATAGTTTTTATAATTTTATTTTTATATATTTTTAGTTATTTTAATGGTTTGAAGATGTGATAATCTTGGAAGGTATTATGTGTTGATATTTATAATTAACTGCTAAAATTGATCAATTAACAAAACTTGTCAATAAAAGGACTTCGTCAACTCTTCACACCAATGATAAAGGCTTGATTGGGTGTAAACTTTTCATGAAAAAGTAATTATTTTTTATAAGATTTTTTTTTGTAAAATATGTATGAATTCATTTTTTTTATAATATGAAATGATTATAAAGTAAGATTTGTTTAAAATCTTTATTAATTATTGACAAAAACACATCCTACAGATATAACTGCTCAAATCCAAGACATCTAGAGATAACCGTACTCTCCCTAACCACTTAGATCACTTAATGGATTCATGTATGAATTCATTTAAACTAAAACAAAACACATATTATTATAAGATATCGTAAAACATCACTTTTGTATTGGAATGACTATTTTGTATACAAGCATGCATGTGTTTGTTCCTACCCCACAGGCCACAGAATAGTACTCTAAAACTTGTATAAAATGTAGAGAGGTTTTAAGATAGAAAATCAAAACTAGAAATTTCCTTTTAGATGTCAAAGATCCATCCCCAAGCCCCACATGTTTCTCTCGTCTCTCTTCCTTTCACCACGTCAACGCAAGAAACTTTCACTATTTGGATGAAATCTCTGGTTCTTAGTGGTAAAGGTTGTACTGTGTTCGATTCAAATGGCCAGATTGTTTATCGTGTTGATAACTATCACTGCAAGTGCAGCCACGAAGCTTACTTAATGGATATTACCGGCAAAGTTCTGTTCACCATTCGAAGACAGGTAAGCATGCAGCAATTTCAATCATTTCCTATCAGAATCATCTTCAAAATACGAATTAAACGATATGCGAATTAATTAAGGTGTTTCTTCCTATTATTTGCAGAAATTTAGGCTGATTGGGTTCTGGGAAGGATTTAGATCATTCAATGGCAGAGTTAACGACGAAGACAAAAACCCAGGTTTTGAAGTAAGAACAAATTATAGGATTTTACAAGGTGACTCCATCTGTGAAGTTGTTGTCTGGTTTGATAAAGATCAACCATGTCAACGTTATCAGATTGAAAGCTGTCGAGACAAGTCGACGTTCAAGATTGTAGACAAGCTTGGCAGGCTTATTACGGAGGTAAACTAATTCCGACCCACTATATTTAAACACATACTTAAATCCCACACTCCGCATGATCATCAACTGCTTTAAATTTGTGCTTGAAGTATCGTTGATTAATAGTTTTTGATGTGTGTTGCATGATGATGATGATGATGATGAGCAGGTGAAGAGAAAGCAATCAAAATGTGGGATTAGCTTAGGAGAAGATGTGTTGACAATGGTGGTGGAACCCCATATTGATCACTCTCTCATCATGGGCCTCGTTGTAGCTTATGGTCTCATCAATGGTTTAATGTGAAGTTGTACAATTAGTCTACACAAATATGTGATTTTTATTAATGTACATGTCACTGTTTTATAATTTAATACATCTTCCAATTATCCTGTTTAAAGATACATGTGATTTATTGATAAGACCACTATCATTCAAACAAAATTTTAAAGATATAAATATTTTTAAACATAATAAAATTTAATATATTTAATTGATATCCATTAATTGATTGAATAATCATAAATATTTATATTATCCAATTTTCTATGAATTCGAATTTTAGCATTTATCTTGAGAATATAATATATTTTATTTTATTTAAAAAAATTAATATATTTAATTCTATGGGTTATTTTTTTTACTTGTCTTTGGTGTATTGATAACATAGATGAATACCCAATTAGCTTTGCCAAACACGCACATAATCGGAGACTCTGTTGCTGCCTTCGAAGCTACTAACCTAGTTTATTTTCTTAATCACAATCATTTTCGTTGAAAATACGTATCAAACACGTAATTTATTCAATGTGGTGGAGATCAGCTTCTTTCATTCTCGACGGACAGCAACATCAAAACGACGGTGTTGCGCCAAATCCCGAATCCGCCCTTCTGTCATCTCCGTCTATGGCTGACTCTGCCCTAAACCCTAAGTCTAACGTTTCTGCCTATTACCAGACCCGTGCCGCCCACCACGCTGTTATTACGAGCGATTGGCTCGCTCAGGCCCAGGCGGCTACCGACGACGGTGATTCGCTGGGAAGTGAGGCCCAGATTGGTGGGAAGGGAGAAGGAAGCGGGAAGGCGTTCAGTGTTATTGACGAGTTCAATAACTGGAGGAAACAGCCTGACTTGGCGGAGGCCGTGGCCGCTATTCGCGCTCTTGCCGCTGCTATTAGGAAAAGTGAGGCTACCACTATGATGGAGCTTGAAATTGAGCTTAAAAAGGCTTCGGATTCGCTTAAAGTAAGTCTTCTGTTTAATTTAAAACAACCCTTTTTAGTTAGCGAATAGTTAGGTTTTGATCATGTCTGCTAAATTTAGTGGTATTGGAAATTTGGTTTAGTTTATCTTTTGCTTGTTTGAGTAATTTCAAGTTTATCATATCTAGCAGACATGGCAATGATAATTTCAAGTTTGATGTGTAAATAATGGTGCCTCTCTGATTTGCCTCACTCTTAAGGTTATGTTTGCTGTGACAGTCATGGGATGCAACCTCAATCTCTTTGACAGCAGGTTGTGATCTCTTCATGCGATATGTAACAAGAACATCAGCGTTAGAGTATGAGGATTTTAATTCAGCAAAGTCTCGTCTGATTGAACGCGCAGAGAAGTTTGGGGAAATATCTTGCAAGGTATTTCAGATAAAATTGTGCCTTTTTCAGTAATCTTCACTACTGTGTCATTTCATTTTAATTATACACGAAGCATTCTTGTTGTTGAAAGACATTGTTTCCAAACACTGTAGGCACGCAGGATTATTGCAATGCTAAGTCAAGATTTTATTTTTGATGGTTGTACCATTTTGGTACATGGTTTCTCTAGAGTTGTTCTAGAAGTAATGAAGACAGCAGCCGAAAACAAGAAACTATTTCGAGTTCTCTGCACAAGTATAGTTTTCTTAGTACCTTTGTCTTCTGCATGCAACAAATCTCAACAGGATAAAACAAATCATCACAAGAGAAGTCTTGTAATTTTCTATTTTTTTGTTTATGTTGGATTTTTGTATTGCGACTATGATATAGTAGTTCATGTCTGATTGTGGTGTTTATGAAAGAGTACACCTTGCTTTTCAATACAGAGGGAAGGCCAGACAGAACCGGATTACGATTCTCTAATGAGCTGGCGAAGCTTGATGTTCCTGTAAAGCTTCTAATAGACTCTGCTGTGGCGTACACTATGGATGAGGTGGACATGGTATTTTTCGGGGCTGATGGAGTGGTTGAAAGTGGGGGCATCATAAACATGATGGGTACATTCCAGATTGCATTGGTGGCGCATAGCATGAACAAGCCCGTTTATGTGGCTGCAGAAAGCTACAAGGTAATTTAAAAGCCGCATTTCTTTTTCTAGTTTTAGAATTATTTGAACCTGAGCTAGGAAATTATGCTACATACTGTGAATCTAAGAAAGAAGGGTTCAGATTAGCGACTAGCACAACTCAGTTATGTCGTTCTTTTTCCTTTTAGTTTGCCCGACATTATCTGTTGAATCAAAAGGATATGGCTCCTGCCCTACGCCCTATTGATTTCGGGGTACCAATCCCATCCAAGGTAGAGGTAGAAACATCGGGTCGAGATTACACTCCTCCTCAGTATCTTACTCTACTCTTTACAGATTTGGGTGTGCCGACTCCTTCCGTGATTAGTGATGAGCTCATTCAGCTTTATTTATAGGGAAGCTTCAATGTGAGTTTGTTTAATTCAGTTCAGCTATATTTTTCGGATTTTTTTTTGGTATCTCGAACGCTTTTTATCCTAAATGACAAATTTTGTATTCAATTTCAATGCTTGAAAATTCTTTTTGGATCTTTATGTATGGCATATATATTTACTCGAACTATATAAATTACATCCATGAATCATGAATTCGAAAATTTTACATGAATAGTCATTCCTCTAGCTTTGTAAGAAGTTAATTTACTGGCCTCGGCCTCTCTCTATTCAATATATATATCAAATTGGAAAAAAATATATATAATTTAAGATTAAAATGTACGTTAGACGACAGTTTTTCTAAAACATGAAGACATCGGAAAGGCTTTAGGGAAAACAAGAACCCTTTTTTGACTTGAGAGGCCCATTCGTCTACTCATTTTGCTACTAATTAATATGGATTGCATGTGGTCTTACCAAACCCCACTCCTGTCATCGACATTCTTCGTCAGACTGGTTTCCCATGGACTGGGTTAACACAGACTGCACCTTCAGTTTTTTAATGTTCTCTATTAAAGTGTTTATATTTACATAAAATTAATTCAGAAATGTTCTTATAAAAATCAGTTGATTTGTATGAAGAAGTCCATCCTTATGTAGACATAATTAAGATGAAGATGATTGAAACCAAAGTAACAAAACCTTTATTAAAAGGCTGTCCTTGTAAACACGTGGAACGGCACCTTAGGTCTGTTTTACTTTATAAAAAGTAAAAGAAAGAAGGTCCATTTCCACTGTGAGATTCACAGAGGTGGGTGGTGGGAGAGAGAGTGATGGAAATAAAAAAAATGTTTGTTTAATGTGATTGGGAATTTTGAAATGGAAAAAGGTGTGGGACTCCCCACCCCAACACCTTACCGCCTGCCTCCATCCATAGGTTTTGTAACACACATTTTCGTTTTACTAAGATTCAAACTCCTAAAAATATGATAGAATTTTACTAGGATTCAAACTCCTAAAAATAGGATAGAGTTCTACTATGATTTAAACTCCTAAAGATAGGATCCACAAGCACTATAAATAGCCATTGTAACTCACTATTGTAACAGACGATTTACACACAAAACATAGAGGAAAGCACGGGAGGATACAAAGGCAAAGCTATTGTAAAGGATTCGAAAAGGAAATAAAAGGTAGCATTTTCTTTTTCTTCTTTGCATGTGCACGTTATTTTTCTTGAGATTTGGTTCGAATACCCAAACGTGGGTTGCGCTGATGACCAAAATGGGTAGGGTTTCGAAGTTTCGAACCTAGATCTACCCCGAGGCTTATTTTGAAAAACCGGTTTGATTTTCGGTTAAAGGAGGGGAAGAGCTTTTTAAAATCTATATTAGTCCCTTTATTTATATGGATTTTATTCATTTATTTTTATTATTTATGTTATTATTATTATATGTATATATATATATATTTCTTTAATATTCTACTTATAAGTCTATTATTACTATATATATTGTAATTATCTTTATCTAGTCATATATTTTTTATACTTTTAATGGTTGATTTATATACCTATTATTAATATATATATATTCTTAATTATTTTTATTTGATTATTTTTATTTACGTATATATCTTTAACTTTATATATATATTATTATTTTCGTTTTTTTTATTATTATTATTATTTTTAAAAAAATCTTGTGTCTTTATCATTATTATTATTAAACATTATATTATATATTACTAACCTAGAGGACCCATTTTTTGTCTTATTTCTGACTAAAGCCCCTCACTTTCGATGAAGTAAGAGGGTAACTTTTCTATTTTTTAATACTTTGATGTATACATATATATATATTTTTCCTTTTTCAAATATTACTATATATAATTATTACTTTACTATTGTTTTTCCTTTATCTTATTTATTTATTTTATTTATTTTATTTTTCCCTTTTACCTTATTTGTTTTATTTACCTTGTTTATCTAACACATTTCTCGATTTTTTAAGGATATTTTCAAATCAATAAAGGGTAAGTAATTGAGGTCGAAACTTTACCTTTTAATTTAACTTGTTATTTTTCTTAATTAAGACAACTGGAAATTACGTAGTACCGAAAGGGCGGTTAAGGGTGTTAATCCTTCCTTGACCGTAACCGACTCCCGAGCCCGACATATTTCTGGTAAAACGCAGATCAGGTAAGAAATAGGGTATCCGATAAACCCATTTATTTTTAAATAAATGATCGGTGGCGACTCCAATCCATTTTCCTAAGTCGAAGCCCAATTCCAGGGCCCAACCGAAAGACGGTTGCGACAGCTTGGCGACTCCGCTGGGGAAACAGGTAAGTGAGTCAGGCTAAGGTAATTTTCAGTTGTCTTTTTAATGAAAAGGGTAAGTTTAAATTTTAAGGTAACATTTCGATCCTTATTACTTACTTTTGATTATATTTTCGAGTAAATAGTTGTACTGACCGTTTTTTAATGATTTCAGCCCTTAAAGATTTTTCATCCAAGGCTCTAAACCCGAGCTCCAAACCCTGCTTTAAATGGGGGTGAAAGCGACGCCTTCGTGTGAATTTATTCACCGTGCGGGCCTAGCAAGTAGCCTTCGGGATACATATACCTTATGCATTCGTGTGAATTTATTCTCCGTGTGGGCATAAGGGAA